ATTCATGTGTCAAACCCTGTTTCAAACGGGGTTTAAATTTTGCTATACAGACTTGCTGTAAGTTTTAATATTTTTATTGTCTAAAAATTCATTCACCTTTTAGGCCATAAGAGTAACATTAATCCATAATAACTAACGTGCTAGATAAAACTTGCTAATGAGTAAGAGATATAAATGTAATGTCTAGATTAAAAGGTAAAAATAATAAACGAGAGTGATAACAGCGCGATCCCATATCCCATATTATAAATACTTTGAATAACATTTAAAATTATTTCCTAATATTTATGCTTTAAGTTATCAATTAATTTAATAATTCATTTAATATAGTTAATTAAACTAATTAATTAATTAATAATGTTGTCACTTATAAACTATTTTCACTGTCATGGTCATTTTATTAAATAAGTAACTTTCAAAATGTTTGAGCACAATCCATAAATAATAGTAAAAACTATTTTTTACAAATTAAATATTTTGTGCAAAACTTTTATTAAATAAAAATAAAAACAAATAAAACGTGAAATGAATTTTAATAAATTTTTGTTTTTATTAAATTAGCCGTCAAAATAAATATCACACAAAAAATGTGTAATACAAACATTTCTAATAATAACTCAATAAATTAATTACAACAAAACTCTACAAATAAAGTACACTAAATCAATATTATAATTATGTATTGTGCCAACCCTTACAGTCTAATCAAATGTTTGGGAATATTACGGACTTTAAACAAAATAAACGCAAAGTCAACGATAGATATGGAAACGCAGGCAAACATCAAATAAATAAAAATATCGGGCGTTTGTTCAATATTATCGCCAATAAAATATGGTAAAAACAAATACAACGAGTTATAGCACATGATAAATATAGTGCCCACGGCATCAGTCATCTCGAAGTACTGATTGACAAACGCATAAAGGGTTACATAAATACACGAATAGCCGTAACATATAATGGCGGCGCTGGACCACAACAGCCACAGATAATCCTGGCCAAAGTACTCGACAATCACCCCGATCCATATAATGAGCACGTGGCCAAAAATCATATACTGAGGCCGCACTTTGACCGCCACAAATATGCATAGAAAACGACCCACAGTGAGAGCTATGGCCATTGTGCTGGCTATGTCGGCCGCCCTCTGGGCCGACAGTTTGAGCTGGGCGAACTGGAAAAATAACGGCCCAAAGTCCATGTACATGTTCTCGGTCATAAAGCCGGTGGCAAAGAATATGGCGGTGCACACGATGAGGGTCTTTTTGGGTATCACTCGGCGCTCCTCCTCCAGCCGTGCCTTATCGGCCTCAGTCACTGCCATTTCGTCCTCCATTGCCGTCAATGACGTGAATTTGTAGGGTTTGATGAAGAATAGGGCCAACATTATTACGGGTCCTGGCATTAAATAATCATGGTAGAAATTCAAACATTATTATACCTATAGTGCAATTATTTTATGGCGCTAAAAAAATACTAACTAGCACTATAATTGTATTTTGAGCCATACCAATGAATTTAATACAGCCTGTAATGAGAAATGGTGTCCTAAGCCTTTCGGACACCTGACTGGCCATATGAGCGCCGGCAGTGTCGCTACTATTTGAGTTGTCATTGACGTCATCATCGCTGGACATATCGCTGGCCGAAAGGCCTGACAGGTATGGTTTGACCACAAGTGGGCCCAGAATAGTGCCCACACCGTAAATGCCCTGCGAAAATAGCAGTACAGANCGCTGGACATATCGCTGGCCGAAAGGCCTGACAGGTATGGTTTGACCACAAGTGGGCCCAGAATAGTGCCCACACCGTAAATGCCCTGCGAAAACAGCAGTACAGACGGACTCCGTTTTTGCCGCATCTCAATGAGCCACACGTTGTTTGAGTTATTCCACGCGCCGACACCGAACCCATAGAAAAACATGCATAAGTAAAGTTGATAGAGTTGGCGCACGTAGGGTAGAAATATTGTTGCCACTCCCATGAAGCTGATCACGATCAATAGGACTAGTTGCCGCGGTACCCACCGGTATATTGTACCGCCTTGGTCAATTTGTTAAGTATAGTGAAGTTTATTTAATGTGTGTGTTTTTAATTGTTATGTATGGCTACTTACAGATTGACCCGCATATACCGCCGATAGCCTGGAATATCGGTATGAGTCCGATGTATGTCATGTTTGTTTGCAACAAAACGGTAAAATCAATGTATGATGGTGCAAATCCGGACACACTTAAACCCTGGTTATTTTGTAAAATAAGATTTTAATTAGTAAAATGAATAATTTCTAATTAATAACAGAAAACATAATTTACAAAGTTTGTATGAATTAACATGATAATTTTTGATTAGACACAGCGCATGGTGAAACTCATTTGATGCGGATCGGGTGCATCCTTGTCCACATCCAGATCCGTTGTTTGTCCGCTCGACCCCTCCTTCCCTGCAACTGACTTACGACTGGCGTTATTCATACGTTTCATATCGACCGCCAGCGCCGGCGAATGGCCCGACACTGTCGACAGTCGGCGGCAACTGTCCAGCCGTTGTCGGCCCCCTTAGGCTGAGCTGCGCCGATGACTGTAGGCTAGAGTACCGGCGTTTAAAGTTTTGTTATTATTTGCTTTCTCGACGGCTCCGGTATTTTTGTACTCATTATTATTATGATTATTGTTGTCATTAATACACATCATTATAGAGGTATAATTTCCATAAATTTCGTATATATAAACTTATAAATTAATGCTAAAAAGTTGTAAAAACAATTTTATATATACAAAATTTATGGGAATTATAATTCTATAATGATGTGTGGTCATTAATATTGTTATTAATAACATATTTATTATTTTTTGCATTTTGTTTATCCATGATGGTCCAATAAAGTTTTATTCAATAATTGATGATTTTGTTAGTAATAATTATTTTATTTAATTAAAATGTTTTATTAAATTTATAACATAACATGATGCTTAAAATTATGTGTAAGCATAATATTGTTAGATAATTATTAATTCAAATAATTTTGAAAATAGTGTAGTAGTCCATTTTATATTAGTTCTTACGCACATTTTAAGAGTTGCTAAATTATAATCATGATCCTTTATGCACATTTCAAGTTTGCTATATTCAAATTAATAATTAATTAATTGTAAAGTTTTAGTTTAATTTCGGGTGAAACAGCCTCTTTTACCATCACTCATCACGCTACAATATGTGACGGTAGGTAGGGCTTGCATTGCACTTGCCGAACTATAACCGGCATGTTGACATTTTTGATCTGCACAATTACTTTTTTTACACTCGTTGTTGCTTTTGCAGAAACCACCTACGTCCTTTTTATCAAAACACACTTTTACCCCATCACTATTATTATCTTCATATTGATGATCTTTGCAATAAATGTATTCATCATGTGCGTCTGCGTCATTGTCACCCATTTCCCCTTTACGTTTCCAATTAAATAAATTAAAATTACAAATTTATATTTTCATTTCATATTTTCATTTCATTATTATAAATATTTTCAATAAGTTAAATAATTAAAAATAAGGTTAATACGCGTGTATTACACAATACGTGTGATACTCAAAGACGCACGTAGATTTAGCATTGCCCATAGATCTATAATAATTTTTAATTTAAATTTCTCAATCAAATTATTCAAAATTATTTTATATAAACATGATAATAAAAGATTATAGGATTACTGATTGATAACTAATAAATGTAATTAAATATCTTGATTAATGTTAATATAATGTTAAAAAAGTCGTCCAGGCTTATAGAGTGCAATTAATTACAATTCAGTACAAAAACTTAAAGTGATAAGATCTATCTACTCCTACCCAACCCTATAGGATTTAACAATGGATCAAAGGATAGTTTAGATGGTTAAACACAAATATATTATATGAAATATAATTATAAATATATAGACTCGTATTTTATTTTTAAAACATCCTACTTTATAATTATAACTCTTATCAGGTAATTTTTATTTTATCGCAGCAACCTTAAATTCTGTTATATGCCTGATAACATCTCTACCTCGACATGTGTATTTTAATAATTAATCGATTTCTCATTAAAATTATTTAAAATTACTTTATAAAAATATGATAGTAAAGGATTGCATACCGGATGTGAAATTAGTATCCATCTTGTTAGTTGCGTTTCCACATAATCCAATCTCACAATAATTGCTAAGACATTCTTTGTTATCATTACACATGCTGACTTCCTTTTTCTTAAAAAGGCACCTTGCTATGTTTTGCGTAAAATCCTGGTACTGGTTAGATGGGCATTCCGTTGCTCGATCAACTCCATGTTTGCCTTTATGTTCATAAAATATAAATTACAAATTAATATTTTTGATTTCATATTTCCATTTATTGTTTATAAATATGTTCAATAAGTTTAATAATTAAAAACAAGGTTAGTAACTAATGTTATTGTTTAATCACACTATGGGTAGTGTGATTACTAGTAATTGAAATTTTGGAGCCGGAGCTTCATGTTAATTTATGTCATATAAACTTTGTTATGGCAATGTTAAGCTGTAAGCATATTGAAATTTATATCAAAGAATTCTTCCCTAGACTTAACATTGTCAATAAGATTAACACAAATACCTGGATATGCACCACCATTTGATCTATCATTTGCGCCACCATTTGATCTATCATTTGCACCACCATTTGATCTATCATTTGCGCCACCATTTGATCTATCATTTGCACCACCATTTGATCTATCAT